ATTTTATTTCAACTAAGCAACTAATTTGTCCCTTTTCATCATATTTATCCAACAAATAGAACAGATGGGTAAAGGGTCATACTAATTTATGCTAAGCTATCTCCAAGTTAATATTCAGATTCACTTCCTTTAGAACCTCTCAAAACATCTAACTTCATGAACATAATTAGCTTTCATAATTAGTTCTTCCTCCACATTTAATTTCATTATTCATTGGATGCAATTAAGCCATCTCTCATGTTTTTCACTGGTTCTATACCATAAAAGTGTTTTTTTAACATTAATTCTATTTGATGACCACTGTAAAGCCTTCTTGAGGATCTACTCACCCAACATATGTAGGGTGCTATCCACCTCATCTTAGCAACAAACGCATTTTGTCCCAGTCTGATATCTTTATTTCCTTAGAACAATGAAATCATGGATTATGTACCAACAGTGTATTTCTTTTTCCCAAAAAAGAGAATAATTGTTCATCAGAAGTGATTGTTATCAAAAAATAAGGCAATGTGAAGAATCAGAACCCAGTCTGTCCTGCTATTTACCCATATCTGGGAGGAGGAGAAGATGATTCATACCTTTCCCAAGGGTTTTAGCACATAAGTAAATGTAATGGATTTGACTGGAATTCAAACGTGGCTCTCCAACTCCTTAATCCGAGTTGCTATCCATTACTCCACCACAGAAAACTGATTTAAACATTTTGAAAATGTATATGAATAGATATTTCTGTATATTGTACAAAAGTCAAAGAATAAAGAAAAAGGAAATGTAGCTCAACAAATATATCAACAAGCCTGACAACTATTTTAATGATAAAATGTTAATTTAGTGAATCAAGCATATTTGTAATGAAACATGCAAAGAGTCATATGCTAAACTGAAAGTGGTAGATTTTGCTAGTATAACAACCAACTACTGTCTTTTCAAAAAAATAATCTATTAACTCATGAATATATGGTATACTCTCAGAATACAAAACTAATATATTTGAGAATGGTTGAAACTATTTTATCATCACTAAAGTAATAGCTTTTAGTATTTATGATTTGCTATAATTCATGAAGATAAATCACATTAACTTATGTTATTATACATTCTATAATTGGTAGCAAATTCTTTCATAGTAAAGAAAACAGAAGATAACAGGTGATTAGAGATTAAAATGCTTGAATTAATTTTTGATATAAAAAGAGAAGATTCTTCTTTATCTATAAATTACATCACTTGCATACAAATATCTTTAATTGTAGATAAAAAAAATTATGATATTTGATGATAGTTACACTAAATTGCCAAACTTGGTATAGCAGATTACATTAGAATTTAGTAAGCTTATTTCTCTATACAAAACTAATGCTTCAATATGCACTTAGTGAAAAACAAATATGATCCAATAGCTTGTTTAAACTGATTTTCACAAACTGTACCAAAATCTATAAGGCTTCAGCTGTATTTTATTTGTACTAAAAACTTTTATTCAGTAAATTTGATTTAAGTTGCCGAATTGTACTTATGCAAATTAACTCTTAACCTTGATTACTTTGGATATTCCTTTAGAAATAAAAGTATTTTTCTTAAATTTTTATAAAGATAAATTCCATTGCTTAAATAAATGAATCATAATTTTTGCTCTTTTATAAAAAGAAGAAATAATAAAGTATTATTTGACTACCTTCTGATTTTTTATAGGTGTTGTATAAATACGGTTTTTACTTAATACCAGATTATTTGTGGTTGAAAAACAGGATTTCAGAAAATGATCAATGCTGTTATATGTATTTCAAGTGAAATATTACATAATTACTAACCAAGTTCAGCAGTTTGAATACAGTTATTGATACTGGCATCAACTACACTGACTTACAATTGTGTTACAGGCTTAAACTTCATACCAATATTAAGATTGGATCAGTTATTTCTAATGTTATCCCAGGAAATTTAAAAATACCTGTAATTTATGTAATTTTAGAAATTCTGATACACACATGATATTTATTGTTTTGGTTTTCTTTTATTCTACATACTTTTTCCTATATATTTTCTTTGTTACTTTTCTATGATTCTCAAATTTTTTTCTATTACACTTATCCTTTGATTCTTATATTTTCTATGACATTCTTTTCTTTCTCTTTTTGTTTTTCATTTTCTTTTTCTGTATCTTATATTAGGCACCTTCTTTATCAGGGTAACACTGACAAATAAAGTTCACTGTGATACTTGTCTGAGATTTGAACTTATTATTTTCTAAGTTCATTTTAGCAAAAAGATTTTGCAAATCTATACTTCTTTACTCAGTTTTAGATTAATTTGTTTTTCTAAGACTTCATTCCAATTTCCATAAAAAATGCTACCATAAAGATCATTTCATGAGATAATGTTATATGATGCATAATCTGTCTTTAAATTGTGATTGCATATAAACCTAAAAGGAATTACAAATTAACACATTTGTATTTTATATTATAACAAGCAAATTTTTCATACCTGACTAAAATAGAAGTTTGAAATGATATTTTGTGATGAGAATCATCTTTGACACTTATTTTATTCCTTGTTACCAAGTGCTAAAAAAAATAGCATGACTTTTATCAAAACAAAATGGTTCTCAACAAATTTCACAGATTTTGTTGTATTTCATTTTATTATTTTTAGACTACTTTAATTTCCTAATTACAACTTCTTGGACTTGATAATAAATGGTGATAGGCATGTTACTTTTACTTACTCAGATAACAAATATAGCTGTCTCCTGCTTTCCTGTCTGCTGAAAATCATCATCTATTGTTCCATTTTTTAAGAACTCTTGTGAACTGCCTGACCCTTCCAACTATCAGCCTATTAGCCTTCTACCTTTTTTTGGGAAACTCCTAGAGGCCCTAATCAATGCCAAATTGGTTCAGCATCTTTCATTGCAGGGAATTTTTTCTGACAAGCAATATGGCTTTCATTTCTCCAGGTCAACAACTGATGTACTGATGATAATTGCAGAAAGAGTCTATCATGCTCTAGATAAAAACAATGAAGCCTAGTCTGTAGCATTGGACATCTTGAAAGCCTTTGACAGGACAGGGCATGGCATAAAGGTCTTCTCCATAAAAAGTTATGGTGAACGTATTTTTGAACTTAACCCATCTTTCCTATGAAATTGTGAAATGAAAGTTATCCTAAAGGGCCACTCATTTAGATACTTTTGTACTAATGCCAGTGTCCCCCAGGATTCCATCCTTGGTCCTACCCTGTTTTTAATTTTCATTAATGATCTTCCCAATGACATCAGCTCTCAATTTGATTATTTATGCTGATGACAAAACCATTTAATCCTGCTTCGATAGTAAGGCCAATCAGTTCAACAAGGTCAAAATAGCAGCTGATGTCCAAAACGACTTCAAGTCTGTCATTAACTGGGTCAAAAGATAGCTTGTTAATTTTAACACCTCCAAAGCTATACTTCTCTCCATTAATCATCTGAGAGACCCATCTCTGCCTTCTATCAGTATAGCTGTTGCTAACCTCCTAGAAAATGACTCACCATGCCTTCTCAGGCTAATGTTCTCAGCTGACATGAAGTGAAAAGACAATATTGAATCCATTGCTAGATCAGCTGCTAAGAAAGTTGGTTCACTGTGTCGTGCAAGACAATTTTTCTCTCCAGAATCTATCTTACATATCTATAAGTTTCCCATTTGTCCATAATTAGAATATTGCTGCCACATATGGCCCAGTGCCCCTGCTATTTATGTTGAGATCCTTGACAAAATCCAAAGAAGAATCAGTAATATTATTGGTCCTAATCTCATGGCTCAGCTTCAGTCACTTTCCGGTTTCCATAAGGTTGCCTCTCTATGTGTTTTCTATAAATACTTTCATGGTAATTGTTCAGATGAGCTCTTCACTATGGTACCTAGACTTCTTGAATTTAAGCACAGTACTAGACTGGCATTGAGATCTCATCAATTTACAGTTGAGCTGGTTAGATGTAGCCTTAACTTCTATGCTAACAGTTTCTTTTCTTGCTCTTCTCACTTGTGGAAACTCCTTCCTGGCTCCATACTTTCCAGTCAACGTTAATCTGCAAAAATTTAAACGCAATGTCAATCGCTATCTACTGTCCTCCTGATTACTTTTTCCTAATCCATTGGGCATAATATAAGTACATAACAACTAAAAAAGGAAAATACTAACATTGAATATTTATATGCAGATCACATTAAGTCCTAGCAGCCATTCTTTCTGTTTACACAGGGAAGGTTGCCTAGCCTTAATGAAAATTGTCCAGCAATTTGAGATGAAATTCTGTGTGCAATCTGTACAAAACAAAGAATGTTCTCCTGGTATACTGCTGCACACTGATGATTTTTATCAGGTGCTCTGCAAAAGCAGACCCAGATGCAACAGACATGCAAATTCAGCTGACCTCTCTTGATGCCAAGAAATTCTTCTCCAAAAGTGCAGTTGTCCTGTCATACTTTCGTTTAAAAGAATAAATAACAGAACAGGCTGCCCTTGCAAACAAATTTCAACATTGGCCAAGATGAGAACATTACCCAAAAATTAGCAGAAAAATGATATTGGAAAATACAATCCAAGATTTGCTGAGCAAAAATTGCCAGCAAAACAGACAGGAAATTTTTCAGGGTCAAAATGTTTAGGCCTGTGCATTTATGCTTGACTGCACAATGTGCAAAGTATAGCCAAGATCACACAATAACTCTCTAAAAAATTTTAGTTCTTGTTCTAACTTATTAGGAGTACAGATCATTAGGGCCCAATAGGCTATGTTTCTGATCAAATTGATTATACCCTCTGGGACAAAAGGAGTCCCATTGAGTTTATAAACCTGAAAATGTGAGCTTACAGTACACCAGTGTAATTTAGAGTTAAATCTTTGTACAATGACATCCAGAAAATATAGGGAACAGTTGCTCTACCATTCAATAGTGAACTGCAGAGAAAGATGCAATATTCTATGAAAAACTTCTGCCTCCAACTCATGAAAGTCATATCACGTTGAAACATCGGTTCTCGTACGATCACCGGAGTTAAGCAATGTCAAACTTGGTCAGTAACAAGATGGGTGACTGCTTCGAAATACCAGGTGCTGTAAACTTGGATGTGCACCGGATAATGGCTTGGAATTGTAAATCGGGGAGCCAAGTTCCAATTCCAGTTTGGTTCATTATATTTACTAATGTGAAAATACCCTTAGGAAAGGTATGAATCCACCTCTTAAAGGTATATGTTGGTCAGTAGGATCTGTATGAGTAAATCATTATTATCTTCCAAAAAAGTTCTTACAATCTATTGATATTTTCTGTCTTTAAATAAGCTGCAAATGGTTGATAAGGTTGACACAGAAGGTGTCATCTACATTTTGTGTATAATAGCTAGGTTGGCAGGCAATGGTAAATAATTTTTGTTCATAGAATACCACAAAAATATTTGCTGTAGTGGTAAATAAAATACCTTTAATTCAGAACTGTAAAAGGATGCTAAGGATATCATGGACCAAACGTGTGAGCAATGATGAGGTCTTAGACAGGATGCAAACAAGGAGAAGACTTAACACCAGGAAAAGGCAGCTGAATTTCCTGGCACACATAATGAGGAAGGAGGGCCTGGAGAATCTGATACTCACAGGGTGAATAGAGGGAAAGAGAGATAAGAGAAAACAATACATGACATACCTGGTGGGCTTAAGCAAGTGGATGACAAAACATGGTATAGGGGAAGAAGCAGAGGGAAGGAACTTGTTGAGAGCTGCAAGGGATGGAGGTAGGTGGAGAACCATGATCGCCTACGTCCTGAAAGGACATGGCACATAAAAGAAAAATAATCACCAAGAAACAAATTTTAATGTTATCCACAAGAGCAATGTTTCATAACTGAATAACAAAATTTATTGCCCAATGAAAGATGTAGAAAATGTTAAATATTTTGGGATTCTTCTTTAAAATATTTATTTGTTTAATCTTTATATTTATCTTCATCTAATATTGAGTGAACTGCTACTAAATTGTGTATATCGATTAACTGTTTATCATGTTTGATGAGGAAGTGATGATTTTAAGTTAGACATTTTATATAGTTGAAATCACAGTTTAGATGAGCTCTTTATACTTTTCAAATTGATGAGAAGAACTATTTATTCATAAAAAAATTTAAAAGTTTAAAATTTCAGTGTCCATTCTGCTTTGTGCACATGTGTAGTTACATCACTTTAGTCCAATGAAGTCCTAAAGGATGAAATGCATAACACAAAAACATTTTCCACTTTGTCATTAATCTTCCTAAATTTCTTCTGGTATATAAAAATTTATATATCATTTTCTCTCATAAACAAATGTCAAACGTCATTACTCAGTCTCTGTTAGTGTTTGTAGGTTGTCATAATTCAAGATGACAATGAGTCCTGTAACCCATTAAGACCATAGGAATACCATGTGTACTGCAGTCATAGCAACAGTGGTAGATCTAGTGCAAGATTGCTTGACAGAGCTTATTTCTCTTTAGTCTGGTTTTGAATTCAGTGTTTTCCTTCTTACTGTTTGCTACCTCAAGGCAAGAAAGCCAGTCAGCCCTGGTAATTATCCTAAAGCTGGAGATAGAAAAAGTACCATATATACACATGGATAGGTTGCCTCACCAGATAGGTCTCACCCCTACTTTATGGCTTAATAATTGATGATTTACTGTTGACTCGCAGATAGGTCATACCATAATCTGGGGAGTTACATAGCCCTTTTTAAAATGTAAGAAAAATATCTACCTTTATTTCAAAACTTAAAATTATTAATACACTTTTGCAGTTAAAATACATTTCATCAATCATCATGTAAACAAAAGGAAGTAACTGATTTATCACATATTTTTATGTCAAATCAACAAAAAAAAATTATTTCTATATGGAGTGTTTAAGGGTATCATTTCTGATTTCTCAGAAATCATGATGATAAGGTAGTGTTGTTTTACATTTATGCCAAACAGATAGGTGGCAACCCAAATATTTTGCGAAATTTTTGGTAAAAAAATGTGTAACCTATCCATGAGTATATACGGCAGATTCATACCTTCTCCAAGAGCATTTATGCCAAAGTGAATATAATGAACTCAGTGGGAATTCAAATTCAGCTCACTGATTTCTTTATCCAGTTCACTAACCATTACATTACCTGCATATCCAGTGATTACCAACCTAATTATTCTAAAACTGTCCTGATTACCAAGTCTTAATATGTAATGGTTCTAACATAACTGTTTATTTATTATCAATTTTAGTATTAGTGAAAGTTTTAGTCAGTTTAATTTTTTAGTTACTTAATTTTAGTTAATTGGTCTAAGCAATAGTCAAGGCATAACAGAAAGTAATGCTTTCATGGTGGGGTTCAGTTTATAATTTAAAAGAGAAAATAATTTTCATGACACAAAATTATGAGAATATTTTTAACACTGGAATGAGATATTTCTAAGTTTTAGAGAGCATTAAATTATCTGTTGACCAGTGGTAATATTTGATCCTTGATTCAGTCCAGTTTCATCAACAATATGTTCATAGACACATTAATTTCTTCTAATTTATAATAACAGTAATTAAAAGATGAGGTGATCAAATACAGGTCACTTATTTATCAAGCTTGAAGATTTATATTTTAAGTCATTCTTTTGCAGGTATAAAAACTATATACCATACATTAAGCATTCCAAAATAGTTAATATGTTAATGAATGAGGAGAACATTAACTCTCACTGTTCTTGTTATTTTCTGGTCAGTAATAAAAAGAAATGATTTCTTCAGCCTTCATTATAAGTCATTACATTGTTCAAAATTTTTTGAAACATTTGTTACAAGATTTATTCAAAATATTAGATCACAATATATAAATATACAATCCTTGACAAGATATTTTAATTTTATTAGATATTAGGAATATATATAAATGGAAATTATTGGTTTCATGAAAGCAAGTTGATGTGTATATTTCAGAAATCAGATCTTTTTAATGAAATGATTTCACAAGGCAGACAAAGACCTAATTTTAATCTTTATATGCTAATTATCTCTAATATAAACATGGAAAATTATGCATACACCAGATCTATCTTTATCATAGAGAAATTTTGATTTTGTCTTTAATGAAAATATGGAGTGGGATGAATCTAAAATAAAAGTATAACTCAAAGTTGGTACAACTCAATATTTTTTCAGTAAAAACTGAATGTATTTTCTATGTTTTGCTATACCAGGACATTAATAATGGAATAATGATGCTTGTTTTAAGTGAAAGTATTATGTAGCCAAGTTAACAACTTATAATAATGTGTAGCAAACAACAGGTAATAGTTTCAATGGTTCATCTGTGTGGACCATAATTTCAGTTTCTGTTAACCTTAAAGGAAAAATAAGATTACTGCTTTAAATCTAGACAGCAATTTGATCACCATCCTCAGAAGTTACTTTTATATTTTCAGTTCCAGGTATTTATATTTTTACAGTTTAGCTTTTTGCCTATATCTGGGGGAGAAAAACGGGGTGTATGATCTCATAAAATGTAATCTTCTTTCTCTTATAATTGGTTTTCAAATAATTTTGTCTGCTTGATTAAAATCAGTTAATTTAGAACTGCTGGCTGCTGCTCATACAAAAGATTGTGTTATGAAAAGAGTGAAAGTTTTTTAAAAAATTTGACAGATGATGTTTGTTCAAAATCTAATCTGGATATATTCTATGAATTATATAATATGAGCATACAGGTTTACTACAGACCGTCCTTTGAATTTTGTCAAGAATCTCGAGAAATAAAGTAGGCATACCAAACCAGATATGGCAGCAGTACTCAATGTACAGATGAATGGTAGATTTTTAAATGTGTAAAAAGAATTCTGATGAGAAGAATCATTTAGCATGACACAGTAAACCAACTTTCCTGGGAGTAGACCTAGGAATTGATTCAATATCATCATTTCACTTCACATCAGAGGAAAATGTGATAGCAAGAAGGTGCAAAGTTTTGCTTTCCTGGAGTTTAGCATCAGCCATGCTGATTGCAGGCAGAAAAGCTTCTCTGTAGGGATTAAATGAAAGCAGTTTTGTTTTGGAAGCTTTACAATTTACAATCCATCACTTACCTGAATTAACCACTGATTGAAGGCCCTTTCCAAGAGCAGTTGCCAGTTTTACATTGTCAGATCTGATTATTGTTCAGTACACACTTGCAAAGCCACCAGTAATCACTAAAACCAACTTGTGAGAGGTTATACAGTGTCTCATTCTATCAATGAATAGTGATTCACTTTGAGGACAAGTTTGTACTCATTATGAGTGGTGACAAAGAGAAGTTTGTTACAATCAGACTTGTCACTCTGGTATACCTGGAAGAAGTGATTCCTATGGACAATAATGACTGGACAGGTAGGAGAAAACCAAAGAGAAGATTGCGGTTTCACTTGTTATTTCCATGCTGGCATGAAAATTTTGAAGTTGGCTTTCACCCAGGAAGAGACAGTGGCAAATTTCTCAACAGGATAATTAAAATATAATTCCAAGGGGCATCGCAAAGGGAATCATGAAATGAGTCCCAATAAGTGTGTTGATAACAGATAGATGTTCTATTAATAGGGATAGCATAAAAACGATATCTATAGAAACTACTGCATAGTTGCTAAGAGGACAGAGTTGTCAAGCATGACATGAGTCCCAGGAGGAAGTAAGGAAGAGATCAAGTAGCAATTAGATTAATTTTGTTGTTTTACTCCTACCCTTTAATATTATTTATGTTATAAATATGACACCTTCTAATGTACCATTACATAATCTATATATATATATATATATATATATGAAAAATTTCTCAGAGTTAACCTGTAGAAAAAGACAATATGAATAAAGGTAAAAGAAAATAGGAAAACTATTATTAGCCAACAAGTTTTGTCCAATGTGGACTTTTTCATGGCAAAAATGAAATGAATTTATTGAAAACAAAGTAACTATTAACAACAAACAAAATGTTCTTAGCAACTAGAAGAATTTAGAAAATGCTATAGTATTATATTTATATAAACACAAAGTCTAATTGTACATGTTTAGTAAAATGACTGGGAATTTTTATCTAAACGTGACTATCCAATTGAATTACTGTACAATACATTAAACTATGATTATACTGCATTAAAAATCAGACAAACTTGATGATTTTTTTAAATTACCATCTTATAAGTATGAAGTGCTCTGCTAGTACCTTCTATAGCAATTAGATTGACTCTTCCGTGTTGTTTTCAAGTTACTGTCTGTTTTAGGCAGAAATTTAAGGTAAACGAAGTTTGGGCTAAGTTATCTGAGAAGATTCATAGATCATGGGGCCTCAGAATGATAGCTATTGTAAATGTGACTAAAAATTAAACATTATTTTTAAGCTCTTTACTCAAGATTTGCTCTAGCAAAGACTTTCATCTCTCAATGAAGAGAGAAGAATGGTAATTATATATCCAAAACATTTTCTCAAAGAACAAATCTTCCTCTTTATCTGAAAACATGCAAAATCCCATTCTATGCATTTCAGATGATGAAAAAAAGACAGACTTAGATAATAAATATTATTGACAAATAAGTAATAATTTTTAGTACAAAATGCTTACAGAGTGTACTATCTATGAAGATGAAAATTGGAATCAGTATGTTGAGTTCAACTTCCACCCAAGTTTATTGTGTTCACTTTGGCACAAATACCCTTGGGAAAAATATGAATTCATCACTTCTACCCACCTCAGCTATGGGTTAAATAGTAGCGTAAACTGGGATCTGTTGCATCGGTTGACACCTAGTCTAGAATTTGGTAAAGAAGATGTACATATACATTTCTGAAAACTTTATAAAGTATTTAATATAATTTTGCTGATATTTCTTGAGAATAATGCCTAATTCAATAGGCTTAGCATAATTTCCAGGTTTCAGATTTTATTATAGGTTTAGGTTCTTGTATAATAAAGTGTTTTCTTTATTCAACACTCATTAAGGTTCTGGGCTGGCACACACACATAAAACACATACTGATAACTTATATCTCTAGACTCCTCAAAGTGGGACAGTCCCAGCTAAACCAGGATATATAATAAGCTTATTTTATGTGGACTGAATACACAAAATAGATAGGATTAAGTATATGACTTTCTCTTACAATCTCAACAAAAAGCATTTATTAATTATACCAATGAAATGTATTTTAATGCATCCTTTTCAGTGTGCTCAATCTGCAATTTAAACTATGAATCTCAGTTGTTTGACTAGATTTATATATTTCACGGAAATATTTCTTATAAGGAGAAATTCCCACTTGTTCTAAATTTTACATTTATATGTTCAACATAAAGAAGCTGAATTTTAGAACATTTTATGATCCAATGATATTTTAAAAACAATACTTTGAAAAAATATCTTTAAAATTTACAATAATTTAAAAGAAAAAGACAGCAACAGAATTTAGGCTAAGACATTCCATTTTAATTTATCTATAGTAATTTATCTTTATATTGTATTTTGTATAAAAATTTAAACTGCTTAGAAATAGTGGTGTATGCTATTGCATTGCATACAATCATATTTTAATTCCTTATCATGTAATGTACAGTATTTTATGAAAATTATTATAGAGTATCAAAAAGATTTTTCTTTGTACTCCATTATAAATAGAGGTACATTCAAGAGATAGCAGTGCCACTTGTCAGGGATAATCATGAAAAGAACACAGTGATGGCCCTCAGCTGTAACAACTGGAAATCTACAATACCTTCACATTCTGAAAAAGGACATGGCTGGATTGAACAAGACCCAGGAAATGGTGAAGAAATGTCAGGTAAGAGGAATGATATGGGTTAATTTTGAGGAAAGGCTTGCAAAAATATAGAATAAAATCTCTTTAATATTCACATACATGTATTATTTAATAACATATTAAAGAGATTCTTATGCACATAATAATAATGTACAATTACAAACAAAATACAGCACTGCAGCAGAAAACAGAGTTGAATAGAAATAGCAAAACAAGTAGAAGTCATGTCTTGGAAATATGTTTCCAAATCCCCTCCCAACATATAAAGTAGTGGATAATGTCAAGAGGTTATTGCACCAAGATCAAACAAAATGGAGAGCTTTTGGATGCAATATTGCATGGTGGATAAGAAGCAAACACATGAGGGTAGCTCAATCTAGTCTGGAAAATGCCAAACAAGAATCAACAAAACTTTCTAGCTCACAATTATTTACTTGAGGACATTGTGAAGATGCTTTATTAAAGATTGAATTAAAGATGTTATTTTTTTTAAATTATAAAATTTCCTTTTGATCCATTTTCTTGATATTTTTATTTTTTTAGAGATAATGAGTAATGAAGAAATTTATTGACAATCATAATGACTTAATCCTTTTGCCCTTTTCAGATTTGTTCTCATCCCAATACAGTAATTCTTCATCATCTCAACCCAACAAATTCCACAAAGGAGATATGAAGCATGTAGGACAGACGTTCAGCTATCCAAGTGAAATAAATATTGCTACCAAGTGTTTCTACATACCAAACAGTGGCCAAAGTCTACAGTCAATGGGTAAAAAAGCTGCCACAATGGACAGTGGTACTGCTAGTACACATTCAAAACTTAAGGATCTACCAACAAGTAGCTGCCGTAATTCATATCCCAGACCACTACCTCCTTTGCCCAAAGCACCAAATTAAACATACTCTCAACAAATAGCAGGTTGCTACAAAACACATAATACATAAGGAAAAAAATTGACATCATAAATGAAGACACTTACCAAAAGTACCATTGAACATTTTGGATGTAATATGACTGAAGTTATTTTTGGCTAATGAAATAATATATCTGTTTTCAGTAGAAAGATGTTTTTTAAACAGTGTTGTTTAGGAATTTTATTTTCTTGGAAACTTTGCATATATTCACTGTTAAGAAATTTTACTGTAGATTTCATTTTTTTAGATCATGTTACACAAAAACTATTCACTGCACTTTCATTCCAATAGTTTTTTATTTAGAGAATACAACTGATATTTGCATTAAAGTTTTTCAATTATTCAATCTAAGATACTAAAATTGATATCTTTTGTAATATACCTCTATCATTTTATATCAGTCAAACTAGACTGAAGTGATCTTAAAATATAATAGTTATCTATATGGTAAACAATTATTTTTTAATACAAAATTTATAGTCAGACATGTATTTTATTTATCATTTTAAAAACTCATGATGCTCAATACAGACAGACAGACTAAGAATGATGAAAGTGATGAAAAGAGGAGAAACCTACAACGATTTCTATGTGATATATTGATTTCTTAAGACAGTATTCTTGGACCTACATTTTCTAGGTTCCAGAAGAGGTACCAAGATTGTAAATCGTCAAACAAGCATACTGGATATTTGGGTTTCAGAGATTGCAACTACTTGGTATATTTTAAAATTTTTACCAAAAAGTGGTTGAAAATGAAAGACATTATTTTTGACTACAACAGAAATAATATTGTTAATTTTGTTGAGAAAACATAATTAAGCAAATTACCGACTTTGTTTAAAATGTAAACTTAAAAATTAAATTAGTAATGAAACTTAAGCAAATTTAAAAATATCAAAGAAATAGAATCTTACACAATTAGTGCCATGTCAATATGTGAATGTGTGGATGTGGAACATTATTTCTGCCAAGAAATATATCACAAGTATAAAGAACGCTTGCAAAATATTTTGTCTGAGAAAATGATTGTCGTTCACAATAGCAGAAATCTAATGCACATTATAACAGTAGGCAAAATTGCCTGAATATTCCTCTTTTATTAAAAATTATTAAGTTAAAAGTTATTACAAATGCATTTATGTAAAAATGGGTGAAAGCATGGTGTATAATTTGGTGCTTAAACATAAAACAGAATGAATATGTAAAAGCAATAAAAGTACAAACAGGTCAGGTTCAAATGACAAAAATTTATATTTTAATTCATAAAATCAGTTTAGAACAATATCAAATTAAGAAATAAACAAATATGAATTTTTTTTCCATAAAAATAATCTAACAGAATTAAGTTTTATTGACAATTCGTCTCAGTGAATATAATCATAATATACACAGCACTGTGCAACAGATTCATATATATATATATATATATATATATATATATATATATATATATATATATACACATACATACACACACACATACAAGCACACTTGAATCCAACACAAATCAAAATTATCAACAGAACTCTAAAGATGGATCTATATCTCATCACTATTTAACTGGATGTTACTGTACAGGTGAGTTGTTGCTGCTGTTTTTATGTCTATTTTTTAAGTTCCTGAAAGCAAATAGTCCAAAAGAGAAACATAGATTTAGATATTGTTATAGTTCAATTTATTGAAAAACAATGCTTCCTGAGAAACAAATATACCAATATGCTTACTGGTTATTAGTTTTATATTTAAAATATATATATATATATATATATATATATATATATATATATATATATATATATATATATATGTGTGTGTGTGTGTGTGTGCATCAAACAAACACGCACACACACACACAAACACAAACACACACACACACACACACACACATATATGTAAAACATTATTTGTTTAACTAAAAGAAAAAACACAAAAATCTCATGAATACACAATTTAAATTGTGACATCTGATTCATTTTCAGTACTGGTAAATTTTATATGCAGATGAATTGTTGCTTTTTTTACATGTCTGCAAAGAAAAGCATATAGCTTCAATGTAATATATTTTTCAGGAGTTGAAATGAAATTATCTAAATTGTTCTTTTATCTGTTGATTATTCATAATGGATCTTCAGACAAGGCCAAATAATAATGGCCATAAAGTAAATACATAAAAATCTACTATAACAGTATTAATGCATTTCTGTGATATCTATATATAATTCTAATTATAATCTAGTTATCAATATGAAATAAATATGACCATTTAAAATAATTGTTTTATTTTTTATGATTTAAGGACAATCTTTTGGAAAAAAAATATCTATTAAATATAGATAAAAATGTTTATTTAATATAGTTCACAATGTATTTAACAGATATCAACTATAAAACTACATGACATCACATAATTTTTTTTTCATAGTAACAACACATGTAAGATAACCATTCATAAAGCTAATAACCCTTTTTGTTTATAAGCTAGGTTGTACAACCTTGTATAATTTGCCCTTGCATAATCCTGTCACCAATCTGCTTTCAGTATGACAGCTTTCCAAAATAACTTGTTTTAGTCTGTCCATTTCTCTGTGATACCCAAATGCATAAAACAAAAGAAAAATATTCTCATTAACATTTATGTAGAAATATTTGAATCAATCCAAAATAGTACAATAAAATATGATTAATCAATTGATTTTTGTTTTGTATAACTTGTCTCTTTTAATTTATCCAGTATGCATTTTATTATAATTCCTTTTCTTATTTTGTTTGTATTATGTTTGCCATGTTGCTTTACTTGGAAGATTCACAACTGTTTTTTGCATTAGATGATTGATTTCCAGATGAGTGAAGGTATTCAGAATTAAATAGTAAAATAACCATAGTCGTTTTTTGTTTAAAACATAATATTTTTCTCTCTACAAAAATCATATAACAGTGGCCACTGAACATTATACATCAGTCAGTTATTTTTCATATGTGATACATGCTTAGGTGATCATGAATCATTTGATACATGACTGACAAGGCAGATTTTTCCCCACAATAGGTTGCCATTTCTTTCTGCAGTAGACTAGTTGCCATCCAAGGCTATAGAACCGAGTCTGTCCTGCTACTTACCCATAGCTGGGGGGAGAAGAAAAGGATTCATGCCTTTCCCAAGAATATTAGTGAATGTAATGGATTTGACTGAAATTCAAACCTGGCTCTCGGATTCCTCAATCCAAGTCACTATCCATTACTCCACCGTGCCTCCTCAAACATCATACATGCAGATTTCTTAAAATATTTGGATTTTCCAATTCTTCAATTTTGTATTAACCAATATACAATGATACAAATATTTCGCTAATGGTTAAAGAGAATTCATTTTATATCTAAATTTAATAGAGAACCAGTATTTTTTATTGCTACTCATGAATTGTATCAATAATTATATATATTATTATTATTGTTGTTATTAGAAAAGAATTTGCTCTTAGTAGAAATTGTATGAAAGGGGTAAGTTTAATAGCATTCCATTCTTTTCGCCAGTTACCAGCAATTGATTAGCACAAACATTTTTAGAGAAGCACTGCAGTTTTCTAGCAGACTTGCCTTGGTTAATTCTTTCTTTTTTTTTATGTGCCATGTCCTTTCAGGATATCGGTGATCATGGCTCTCCACCTCCCTCTATCCCTTGCAGCTCTCAAAAAGTTCTTTCCCTCTGCTTCCTCCCCCAGACCATGTTCTGTCATCCATTTGCTTAAGCCCGCCAGGTATGTCACATGTTGTTTTCCTTTGTCTCTCTTTCCCTCTATTGGACCCATGAGTATCAGATTCTCCAGACTCTCCTTCCTCATCATGTATCCCAGAAACTTCAGCTGCCTTTTCCTAATGTCAATTATAAGCCTCCTTCTTGTTTGCATCCTGTCTAAGACCGAATTGTTGCTCACTTGCTCAGTCCATGATATCCTTAACATCTTTCTATAGAACCACATCTCCATCGCTTTGAGTCTCTTCTTCATCTTTGAAGAAATTGTTCAACATTTGCTGCTGTAAAGAAGGACAGATGTCATGTAACAGCTATTCCTCCTGTCTTGCAATACTCTGCCCAGCTTTTGGAATGTGCCCTTGGCCATCCCAATATGCCTACGGATATCAGTGTCGCACTTACCATCTTCCGTCAAGATGCTTCCGAGATATTTAAATATCCGATTCTAGTGTTCCCAACCTGTAAATCACATTTTGGGCTCATCTTCTTACTAATGACCATGCATTCAGTCTTCTTGTAGTTTATGCTTAGTCCTTTCTTCTCACTTTCTGTCACTACCTTCTGTAGGAGAATTTGTAATTTCTTTTCCATGTACAAAGATGATTAATCAAAATATACCTCTTTAAAATTCTAGAATGGATATGATAAATTTCATAATGCACTGCAATGAAAAATTCATAATTTTTTTTCATGGTAGAAATGACACTTTATTATTTATAAATATCTTTATAAAATCAAACATTACACTTAATACTGTATTTATAGATAATTTATAATTGTTATATATGAAATAAATCATGCAGGAAAAAATACACATTTTTGATAAACATTAAACAAGGTGTAATTCTAAATAATATATCCAGGCTCTTACTGAAAGGTAAATGGATTACATTTCGAAATTTAATGCTATTATATTAACTAAAATTAGTTAAATATCTTATTGAAATATTCCAATTAAAGAAATTTTAATCTAAACATATCTTTATGTAAATATATATTACTAGAAATTAATTAAATTTATTCTTTGCAGCTTT